AAGAAGGCAAGAAAGCAACAATTTTTCTGAGAGGCGCTCTTGCTGAAGGTGAACCTAAGTTGGGCTGAAAAGCTGGGCATGGATTCCGCACATGTCTAGCAGACGGGCAGCGTTGAAACCCGTCCAACCGTCACAAGGGGCTGCGGAATCCATGGAAGACGGTATCGTTGAACATCACGGATGGAGGCCCACGGCTAGCGCTTTTTGCACTGCTCCCTTCTGGTGGGGACGATGAGGTCAGAGTACTTCGTTGGGGAGACGTCCGCGATCTTGGCTGGGGCTTGAAGCTGAGCACCTTCCGGCTCACACCTGACCATGGACTGGTTAATCCAGGTGGTAACTCAGAAAGCGTGTCATTTACCTTGATCGAAGAGCGCGAGTGGCACTTTCCACGGAGCCGGCGGGGCGACCTGTTTTGGGACGATCATCTGCATCCTGTGGATAACGACGTGCTCATGACGAGCAAAGTGGAGGGCGTGTGGCACGGGACTCAACAAAAGGTGCGCTTGGTACTGGGGCCTTCCGAGGGCTTCCATCAAGATCAGGGGATGATTATATGGTCCCGCATTTTGCAATCCACATGATGCAGAATAATTTGAAAACGGAGTGACAACGCAAGTAGTTGAAGTGTCTGGAAATATGGCGCAAGAGCCAAACCTTCGAAGCCGCGAATGTTGCGGTTGCCGTCACGATGCTGTCCAGATCTCATATATCGCCCTCCCAATCATTGACATGTTCCAAAGTGTCCCAGAAGGCACTGATTTGGATTTAGTAAGCATGGACGATCATAGGGTGCGAAGCTCAACCGCCTTAGTGTATCAAAGCCACATCCTAGCTGGTTGTATTCTGCACGCCGCGCGCCACTGGCTGGCGACTGGCCCGAGCCAAGCAAGCCGGCCCCCAGCCGGCCCGGCCATCGTGCAATCGTGCTCAGCTGCGGTCGCCATCACTGCAGCAACTGAACACCTATATTGAGAAGCGGCTCTGGGAAGACGTACGATGGAGATTTACTGATGCAGTGTGCGCCCCCGTGGCCTCCACTTCGCGTGGCAGGCTGCACGGCCATGGTGAAACCACGTACTTTGTACGTTACACATCATGATCGTCTCTTCCCAACGACTCTTTATGCACAGCGATGTAGTATATGTTATTTATGCGTTCATAACGAGGCGCGGACATGTCAGATCCAGACATGCATCGTACATATATGATTGGTCTAACATATCTCATCAATCGACAATTATTAGCCGTGCGCAACTAGCGGCCTCGGTACCGCGTACCTAGTTTGATTTCACAAAGCTACAGCACGGCATCGACCGGTGGGCCCAACATAAGTTTCTTAGCAAAAAATGTATGGATTTAGGCACTTGCTTAATGAAGTTGCTGCTCGGGCCCGCCTACCGTACACGAAATGCACGAAGCTGGACCTGGCGGTGTTGCTCACAAGCTACCTATGGTGGGTCTCGACGGTATCGACCGCGCGACGGTCGGGTCTCAAATTTGTATGACCGGTGTCACGCGTCGCGACACATTTTGTACGCAGTACTAACGATCGTACTCGGCCGTACTAGAGAATCGGGTCCGAATTCATGAATCGAGCTTTTCCTGACATGTCGATCAAACGGGCAATTACGTACTACCCGGAGGTACGGTACCGTCGCGCGAGACTCGAGTCTGCGCGGCCGACAAATTTAAATTACATGGTCTTGGTCGGAACTTCCGACTTGTACCGTGCACGAGTACCGCGGTACCCAGACTGAAAGAAGAGTGCAGAGATTTGATATAGGAGTGTAAGAGAAGGCGCTCTTCAAAATCCAACAATGGCGATAATGATGAATAATAACCCGTGTGACATTCTCGGCTGCCCAATCAGAGGGTGAACGACACAAGCGCTTTTCAATCAAACTGCAAGTACTGTTTGAATGACGGCTCTTCGCAAGCTCGCTGACTACGGCCGTTTCGAAAAGCTTTGAGTACGCTAGAGCCTTTCTGACGGAAGGCTAGTTCTAGTGCTCGACTTCAATCAGACAAGACTTCTGAAACTGTTCGGAGCGCATCAGCCGTCACCGTTGCTGCTGGAGCCGGACGTGCTCAGTCCGAACCTGCAGCAATAAAGGGATGATCTGACTTCAATAACTCGCAAGTGACGTCACCAAGCACAAGACAAACTTTTTAAAAGCAAGAACAGGGACGGAACAGCGCAAGTGACCGAGAAGAAAGAGACGATAGGGGAAGGACCATGCCGAAAGGTGGATCCAAAACTTTTAACAAGATTGGCAAATATGACAGAGCCAAGCAAGAGCGAAACATCGTCAGAAAAGAAAAACCATAAAACGAACATTCTTTGGACCCGCTCACCGCTTCTTGCAGTTCTTCGGGCAGCTCCCGGAACCCCTCGTCGTTCATCAGGTCCCTGTAGTGCGGCGCCAGCGTTGGCACCGCCGCCTCCGCAAAGGCCCACGCCGACATAGCAGCTGCCGCTTGCAAGACTGCCACCGCGTTCTCTGGTGTCAAGTGCCGCCTAACCTGCTCTAAGCACAGCTTTCCTAAGCGCTCTAACGTCCACCGTTCTGCGAGGTCGGCGGTTTCGACGAAAACGACTAAAGACGAGTCGCTGTACCTTGACTTTGACACTGTTTCCAGGTCTGGCGCTGCAGGCGCTCCACGCTGCCCACCTGGTGTCAAGTTCTGCTTCGATCTCTTCCCCTCGTTCGAAGTTCGGCTATCTGCTACCCTTTCATCTGGCGACGGTTTGACGCCTACTTCAATCTGCCCTTTTAATGAAGGGCTCGCGCGCATTTGTGGCCTGACTAGTTGTCCTGTGTACAAATAAACTAGAGTCGCGAGCACGGCTGGCTGAGACGTGCTCGGAACCCGAACGACGCCCGAAACGCTGCACAGGACAAAAAGGAGGCTTGGATCAATCACGACTTAGCGGATATGATCCATGCTGTTGCAACATATTGCAGAAAATCGGATGGTCCCAAAGCAATGTTCGCAATGTTCGTGCGAGCTCATAACACCTATTTCAGTACTCGTTTATAATGGAGGGGACGTGATTGAAATCAGCAGGCTCTTGCGAGCAAGAGGGAGAAGAAGGACAGGCCAGCACATCAGGTTTCCTGTTCTCAAATTCCCTGACAAACCTTTGCAACAACAACGGAGTCGCTCTTTCAATAGTGCTTTCAAGAACGTGCGGCCTCACCTGTGACGTTGATGGCAGACAATCAACAACCTGAAAAGTAATTTGATCCCCGTAAACCGGCTTCTTTTTCAAGGTTAAAGGTAAACCCCTCACCTGTCACGCATCCCCGACCGGAAGAGCGCGCGAAAGTACTCGGAGCGCGCGGACAGAATCACCCGGTGAGCGCGAACGCTCACGGGACGCCCCGCAGCGGCTGTGGTTTCGCCTGAGGCACCTTCGCTGACGTCATCCGTAGGGGAGTCGATGAGGAGCGTGACGTCACTGCAAGCGCGTGAGCAGAGTGGACCAAAGTGAAGGAAGAGCAATCCAATGAACGTTATCAGTACACGAAAACGTCTCAGCTTCTCCGCGTTCCCCTTATGCTGAAGATTGAGCACACGGTCTTTGAGAACGATTTTCAACCCCAACAAGGACGGTTCTCTCACCTTCTTTTCGCTCAAAGCAGACGCGATGTAGACTACAAATCCCGCATACATATCTCTACTACTCGATTGCCGTAAGCTTACGAACAGCACAAGAACGAGACTCCAACCAGATGATGTCAACGTGGCTCTAGTTGTCAGAGACCACAGCGCCTCCCTTAAGCAGCGATGCATCAGTGCACTCCGCGCTTGGACCACTGATGAAGGAGAACGGACGATCCAGAAAGACGGAGCCTCCCTCCCACGATGCATACATACTTGACATGTTCAAAGGCTTTGAGCTTCCAGGTAGAATGATCGGTCTTCGCTAGTGGCGCCCAGTTGGAAAATTTGAGTTGGTTTGCGTGTAGGTTGAGATAGATCAGTTCCCCGGGCTCAAACAAACTGAAAATCTAGACCCAAAATTAACAGGCTCCGCACCCGAACCCACCCTAAACCCCCAAAGCAACCTCACACGTCCCACGGGCATGACAGAACTCAATATAGCCGTGCTTCAACATAAAATCGAGACTACTCCCGGTTGGAGGACCCTTGAACCCTAAAATCCAAAAATCCAAAAACCGACTCACCATTGCGCCAGCCCGACCGCAGTCCTCAGCGCCCCCCCCAAAGTATACCCCGGTGGCCGATCCCCCGGGAATGGCCGCCGGCGCTCCAGCAACCCCACCAAATCCTCCAGCTCGCACTTCTTCGCAAGCACCAGTAAGTCCCGTTTCAGCTCCCCCTTTACAGGGCCTTCCAGCGCCAGCCACCCGCTATATATGTACTCCAGTAGCAGCGCAAAGGCCTTGTACGAGACGCGGTTCGACAGCTGCACGACTCGCGTTGCAGGAGACGCTTCGGACTCGGCCGGAACTCCGTTCCGGTCTGCAGATTGCTCCAAGGGGGCGGAGCTTTGACGAACGGACTCAGCGGCCGCTGGTTGCTCCTCCTTCGCTCTCTCAGCCGTTAATTCCGATGTCATCGCGAGCAGGACGGGACATCGAGCGGCCAGGATCGCTCGATGGGCGCCGGCGCTCTGCCCGTCCGAAAATTTGAACAAGACGTCCGGATCGTCCGCACTTTGCAGAACCGCGCCCACTTCCCCTCCCAGCCGGGACGGGCATCCATAGCCCCCCATTTCGGCGAGCGCCCGCGCCGCCCAGCACCTTGCGCCCCACGAGAACCTGTGGCCCCCGCAGACCCGCTCTAGTTGCTTCCGGAGACTCCCGCACAGAACCGCACACAACGGCTCGGTCAGAAGTGCCCCACTCGAGTAATGTGCCCACCAAAGTTGCCAGCATTCTGAAGCTCCAGCACTTGTTCCGCTTGATTCCGTCCGCATAACGGATCCGTCTCCCGCAGGGGGTGACTTCTGCGTGAAAATCGGCCCCCCCGGGGCGGCTTTCCGGACGGTTTCAGACGGGAACGGCTCGACGGACACACGCCAGCGTCCGTACATCCCGCAGAACGCCTGGAGCGCCGCGAGCAGCAGGCCGTCCTTTCCTTCCCACGCCTCCAAAATTTCGCTCGTTCTAGTTTCCAAACCCTCGCTCTCTCCAGATTCCAGGCTCTCAGGATCTGTACTTCCAAGACTGAGGGCTCGCAGCTTTGGTAATTCGGGGGTTGGGGGTTCAGGGGTTGGTGTTTTGGGGTGTGCGCTTTTGCGGTCAAGAGTTTGGGCCGGGGTTTTGGTGTCAGCGACATCGTTGTTCGACTCCAGGTTACTTCTGGTATCCCGTGAACCAAGGGAGGCCTTGGATTCCGGGGCTGTTCGTGGGTTTGTGACCACGGACGGGCAGAGGGTCTCGCGGGCAGCAGCAACTGGAACGGCGTCCAACTCTGGGCCGTCCAGCTCAGCGTCCGAAAGATGGTCGTCGTCGTCCGAAAGAGGTTCCAGGACGCTGTCGAGCTTTAGCGCCAGCAGGATGATGATGCGGATGCCCGTGGCCGCGCTGATCCTGCAGGTTTAGAAACGGCGTTTCAAGATTCAGCGGGTCGTCTCTGCTTGGGACAATGGTGCCAACTTGGACTAGTTTCCGGTTAGTACGCTGCTTGTGTGAGCTTTTCTCGCCTAATGTTGAAAGAAGATACACACATACTTTTGCCGGCCCATTCCCCTAGTTTCATATACTTGTATCTCTGTCTCGTATCATTTCGACCTCCTCTTCTAGAAACGAGCTGGATAATCATGACAAACCCTTCCTCGTCGACCTTCAATGAATCACCCGGATAAACCAACTGCAACCGGGCGGTCGTGGAGAACACTGCTGCGGTGATTGCAACACATGCTTATGCTTCGTAATACCTTCAAGAACGGCCACCTATTGACAGAAAAAAGCTGAAAAGTGCCCTGTGCATCACTTCTCAAAGTCAGCCAAACTACTGGCAAAAGCAGTCCGCAACCGACTCATCTTAAATGTGCCCACCTGAACGGGTCCAGCGCTGCCAGCGCCGCAGCCTTCAGCAGCCCCCCCTCTAGAATCGAGTCCGCTTCGGCCGTCCGCGCCCCCTGAAAGTAGCCCGCTGGGTCGCCCGGCAGGATACCAATTCTCATTTCCGTCATGCTGGCGTAGTCTTGCATTGCAACGGCACGGGCGGCTTTTGAAAGGGAAGGGGTCGGAGAAGAGAGGAGGCTGAGCAGGGCACGGGAGATCTGCAAGGAAGATGAAGTAGAGATTATAAGAAGGGAACGGAAGGAACGGGGAGCAACTCCGCATCTACGGAGAAGCACAAAAAGGCGAATCATTTTGACAAGGACCACGGGATAATAACGCAGTTGAGGATCAAAAGGTCTGCAGCAGAGAGAGGAACGGAGGCCCAGGATAAGCGGCCGAAAGAGTACCGGCTCTCCGTAAAGGATTTTGTGTAAACCAGCGGACCGGAACGCATTATAGATGGACTAGCAATGTTTCAGCAGAGCGAGCATGCGGACTTGAGCTTAGGTTCTCCTGCTTATCCGCCGAAAATTAAACGAAATAGACGGCGCAGATACAGGGATCCGTCAGGTCAAAGTCGAACCCGTACTCTTACAGACGGCTCTTGCTTCCCGGAAGCACCAATAACACCGACAAAACACAAAGCAGCGCCAGAATTGTAAACCAGAGCCAACCAACACAACCGCACGCTTCAGCGTAAACCATCAGCGTAGATCAATGAAGTATGTCGGACCGTACCTCAACCCGTTCCTCCGCACTGCCCGCGTCTCCAGGGGAGAAGAAGTAGACCTTGCTGTGAAAATGACTCCTGCAACCACGAACCGCCAGCTCAGTGCACGGTATGAAGTCAATTCGTGGTAAGGAAAGGGTTGGACGTCCATTGTTTTGTTAACGCGATGAAGAAGATGACGAGACAAGCACTGGGCCTCACCTTGGGGTTCATCCGCGACAGATTTGAAAACTTCGAAGTAGGATGAACCGTATTTCCGCATGAAAGGTTGGAGAACAAAGACTGCCAGCACAAACGCACGATGGCACGAAGCACTTCGATGCGGCCCCTTTTCACGAAGGACTCGTGAGCGGTAGCTCAAGACCGAGAAGGTATAGTCAGCAAACGTTTTGCTTGTCTTGAGCGCCAAGCAACCCTTTTCTTCTGGTGCGTGTGACATGCCTTTCGAGCCACCTCAACCAATTCCACCTGCCAACAATGCGCACATCCCCTATCGAAGCTTGCAGGTTCACAGCTATCCAACGAACGCACGGCGGCAATCTCGATGCCCGCAAGTTCCTGCCCAGTGGCTCACCAAACGAGCTTCGGCAGATCCCCACCCGTCTTGCCCGCACTTTTCCCGGCCGCTTTTCCTTCTGCTCCTTTGCTAACCACGTCTCCTCCCTTGCTACCCCCCCCGGGACCCTTGCTAACCCCGTCCAAACCCTTGCTAAACCCCAAGAGCTCCACCACCCGCCAGCACGCCCTCCGCGACTGTGGCTCCATATCAGCCATCCTCCGAGGGGGATCCCCCAAAACCTCCCCGCTCCGATCAGACGGCGCCGGCCAGCCGAGAAGGTTCACGAGGCCTTGTGCGAGCCCCGATGACAGCAGAGCTGAGGCCCAGGCGCTCTCCCGGCGCTGTAACAGGGCCCCGAGCGTTGCCAGGGTTTCGAGCAACAGGGATTCGTCGGAGTGCGGGGCGGAGAGGATTCGGACGACGGCGCGGGAGAGCGGTCCGCAGTCGAGGAGCGTGTCCGAATTGGAGAGGGGCTGCAGACGATTTCAGAAGAATTATTCACGCGTTGCAGGAGTGGTTTTCAACAAGAGAGAACAAAACTTGATGCACTGGTTCGTGTTACAAGGAGTTAGCTGCCTGGGAACTTCTTATTCACGACTAACCCCACCGTTTGACAGCGAATTACTAAAGAGGGGGTGATTATCTTGGACGATCGAGATCCATGTTCTCGTTCAACAGACTCTGTCAACGATGTAAGTGGAAGAGACTCATGACAACTCACCGCCAAGGCTGCTAGCAGTCGCAGCGCAGCGCCGCGTGCTTCGTCTTCTTGACGCTCCAGTTGCTTCATGAGACTGGCGGACAAGAGGGGGCAAACCCTCAGCATTGCCGCCCCGAACTGGCCCTCGGACGCTGCAAAACATGGTTACATACTATTGGAAGCAAGACGGAACAGGTCTGAGCACACTCGATAGATATAAAAAGAAAGTCACAACATCAGTACAAACAAGAAGCTGACTGACGGCTCAGCTGGCCGGTGGTTCGAACGAGCAAGAAGACTAAATCTAGCACAATCCATGAACACATCCAGATTGAATTAATTGAACAATGAAAGAGAAGGGTTCGAGCTTTCACGGCTTACCCAGGACAGCAGATGCGCTCATTGCCGCCGCGGCCACCCCCCCATCATGGCTCGCCATTGTTTCCCCCAAGACATCCACCCACTCCAAATCCTCAGCCGCTCGTCTGAGCAACTTCCCAGACTTCTTCACTGCGGCCAGCAGGAGCGCGAGGACGTCTAAAACTACCTGCCGCCCAGTAGTGCCACCAGCCTTCCCCAGCGAAAGCTCTAGACTTCCCTGCGCGCTCAACTGCCGCTTCATCCGATCAAGCGCCTGCGCTCTGGTGAAACTGTCAAAGACGTTCTGAGCGGAGAACGACCGCAGGGGCTGGAACCCTTTCGCTTTGACCTTGGTCCGAGCACCCGGCTTGTCGAGGATCATGAGTAAGAGGGCGGCGGAAGCGTGCTGTGTCGTAACAACGTCCGTGGCATCGATCAGAGAGGCCAGTGGTACAGCTAGGGAGGGCACCATGGCGTCGCGCCAGGTGGCGAGCTGGGAGGCTGCCACATGGCAAGCATGCGCGGCGCGCTGAGCGACTGCGGGGTTTGGGAGACCCAGGAGGAAGTGCAGAGCGGGTACTGCGGAAGATACTGCAACCTGTCGAAGGAAGATTAGAAGGTAAGTTCGTGGAAACTTTTGTCCACTTTCTTAAGATCCTGGGGAATACTGTCCAGTTACTCGGAGCCCCTTTTACATGGGGGCAGCACGTGTAGTCAACCCGATTTCGGGCGGACCAGTCAAAGAAGACCTGAGTCTAGTTCGGAGGCGGTAAGGGGAGCCTGTTCAATTCACGGTGGTCTGAAGAAATCAACTTTGAGATGCACATCCGAACCAGATGTCCAGGGTGACTGCGCTTATAGATGGCTGATGCATCATGTGTCTGATGAGCGAACAGTGTTCTCCAATGTCTGAACACAACTTCAGGACAAGCAAGGGGTCTCGAAATGGTAAGAGTTTCTTCATACCACATCTGCTTCCCAAAGTTTCCCCAGATATGATATGCAACTAGTTGGCTTAACGCAGCTCGTCTTCATCATGTTGAGCACCTCCACCAAGTCAGCTGCCTCACTGACTAACACCCGACAAACAATCTAGGCCAGCCTTGTGCAAACGCCAATGCTGTCAATGATAAGAATTTACTCCCCAAAAGCACAGCATCTGAAAGGAAATCTTCGACCACCGGGTGATAGACACAAGATGTCTCAGAATATCAAGGATGGGATGTTCACCTGAATTTTCTTGCTCCATCCTGCATCCCTCTCCACCTCCTTGTAATGCTCGACGAGCGCATCCGCCAGACCCAGGATCGCTTTGCTCGCCTGCTGCTGCACAGAAGCATCAGCTACGGACCATGATGGCAATAAGCTATGTCCCTCCTCCAAGACCTTATTGCCACCACCAGCAAAACCCAAGGGCAAGGCGGCCTGAAGGCGACTCAGAGCCTGGTCGAGCTTCTGCTCAGCTTCGAGCTCTCGCTGCGTCTTGGGCCGGGACTTGCTAGGCTTCCGCCCAAACTCTCGCAGAGGAACAACCGGCATGTTATCATTTCATTGTTGCTGCCCCTCAACCTTTGAAGTTTGAAGCTTCTTTCTAGGTCTTCGAAAGTGGGAAGAGCTACAGCTGTTTGCATGAAACCTGCGACCGGAGCTCCGACCTAAAAGTAAGAGATCCACATGCAAGACGTCTTCTCAGCAAGCTAAACATTCCTAAGTTGCTCGCGCGTACTGTGATGAGCGCTCAAGTTCTCAATTTCCCTGTGCGCGCAGGCGTACTACTTTACTACTACTAGGGTTTCTGCCTCTATCACGTTTTAGGTAGATTTAGGGTTCAGGGGCAGAAGTTCGCTTTCTGAACAACTAGAGAAGCAGTAAATCTGGTAATGGCCATCGTCAAAAGCCCGTACTCAGTAATACTGGTCAAACTTCAAATTATTGGGGGTTTGATTTGCTGACGTCAAAATGCGACACCCAGGCCCCAGGGGAACGTTCAAGGCATCCAACGGTCTACACACGCTTTTCGGATCTCGTTACGAGATCTGCCCCTGGTGATCATGCACCGTCGATGTTGCGTATCCCGCCTGCCGCGGCAACAGCTGGCAGATCTGAGAAACGCACCTCGGAGGAAGCCGACAAAAGACGGCGTCATTCACGAATGTGTCGCCATATGCCTGGCCTCACCACCCGGCATGAGCATTCGTTTGAGGTGTCGAACGCCCAAAGTGCCCAGCGGAGATAACCCGGGTTGAAAGCTGCCGAAGACAGGGCTACCTAATTTCGCCCGGTTACGTTTGACCGGGGGGTTTGACTTGGGGAGAAGCCTGGAGAGTCGTGACCAGCTGGGTGACCCTGTCCAGACTTCCGTTGACCTGCGCGCAACTTCATATTCAACCTCTTGTCTCTTTCGCATGTGCTCTGTGCTCTTTGCTGGGGCCAAGGTGGAGTCCAAGAAGGAAAGCTGTGGGGGGCGCTGGTTGGAGCCCTTGGAAGTTGGAAGAGACGACTCAGGAGAGGGTGTGTGGGCTGGGAGATCAGGAGAGACCTCGGGATTCGTTCTTGGCCGGAGTTCTCTTGTCGACATCAAATCAAGCTGAGAAGAAGATCAGGGTGTCCTGCACTTGTGTGGTTTCTGAGCTACTAACACTTCACGCCAGGAGCTCGTCAAGGCCATCTGCAAAACTGGCAAACCACAAGAGAGAAGGGTCGGGGTCATGGAGTCCTCCGCCTGTGCGGGGGCTCCGCCATCCCAAGATGGACCCCGACCAGCCAAGAACGACGAGGAGCTCGCAGAATGGGGCTCTCAGTCTCGTGTCAAACATCGAGCAGCAGATGGACTACAGAGAGCTTGCGACGCGGCTAACTGTTAGTGAGAGGAGGAGGGTGCTTGAGGCTGCCGTCAAGCAGCTGTTCCATCCCAAGATTGAGGAGGACTGTGGTGTTTGCTGCATGGTGTTCTGTGTCCAGTTTGAGGACGGGACGCAGTTGGCAGGATGCTCCAGCAACTACCAGGAGGAGCTGCAGAAGACCAGAGACGATGTGTCCCGTGTAGCTCAAAAGGAAGGGCAAATGTGAGAATACAGTTGTCTTTCTGTTGATCAGAATGGGCCAGTCCCCCAATGAGACCGAGGGGCATTTGATCCTTTGACATTACATTCTTGCTTATAGACCATCTCTTATAGTGCAAGTCTATCTCGCACCCTTAATGTATCAAGAGCAGATTGTTCTGCAAGCAGCAGATTAAGGCTTACGGATGTTGTCATGGCTGACAAACCTTCCCAGTTTGATGTGCTGTGTAAGAGTAGCTGCTTGGAGAGTCGTGTGTAGATTCAAGAGTCTCGGTCTGTTGCCATCCGCTTGTCTGCGAAGTAAACAGTTGAAATTGCTCAACCTACTATCTTGATGCTTGGCTTTGCATACATCGTGCTCGTGTCCCTCAGAAAGCTGTTCTTCTGCAAGCGTGCCAGTGCACTCGCAACCATAGGGTTTCTCAAGAATCAGAAGATTCTGAGGAGCTCATAGGCTCAAGGATTGAAGCCTAGTGGCCTTTCATGTCCTTACTTCAGTGCATGCAAGTCGTTGACTCTGTCACTCCATCTTCAGGTCCATCGAGATAACTGATCGGAAGGGGAACCCCAAGCCCTGTGCTGAGCTATTTGGAAGGAGCGATGCCACTGGAAAGAGCAAGAGCAAGTTCCGGGAGCTGCATCCCCTCGTTGCTCGCTTGATCGCCAAGGTGACCGACGGCAACGTCCCCAGGTCCAAATCAAAGGTGAGGGTTGGTCCATGTTAACTCATTCTCTTCGTCGCCGCGCGCTTCAGGTGAAGTCTAGTTTGTGAATGGGCTTAATATAGGGATGAGTTTCTAGTCAAAATGCTCCTGGTGGTTTACTAATTAGGTCACGTTGGGACTGGATTTCTGGTATGCATGCGAGCCTCATTAAGTGTGAAGTTTCGCTGGCCATCCTAACTGTGTCAAGCAATTGTCTGCTGTCTGAAGGAGGAACGTTGCTCAGATGAGTTGCTGCTAAGGGGGTAGAGACTTGGCTACTTTGGTGTTTGCTTCCATGCTTAGGCTCTGTGCCCTTCAAATGGGTCTCCAAGGGGGCTCCCCACTGTTCCACTTAAACCAGAGTCTTAGGGTGTGTGCTCAATATAAGCCGTTAATGTCAGAGTGTTGTGTTTGGGGTTACTCCCCGGTATTGGTTTGCTGTGACCTATGGATCACTTTTGTATAGGTTTTTCCCTCCGAGCAGACAAGGAAGGAGAAACTGTTCTTGAGGTTCTAGCTTCCTCATTGTTCCCCTTTGCAAAGATTCACGTTGCCTCGGCACTGTTAAACAAAGTCTTGCAAACCTGTTTCCACCTTTTGCCCTCCGCTTAAAACCCCAAAGATTGTCACCCTGCCTTATGCGCATGCATGCAGATATCTTGTTAACCGCTTGTAAGACATCTCATCTCATTGCAAGCTTTTAGCGACCCTCCTCAGATTGCATCTTGCGTATCTTTCTGCCTCGCTTTTTCCTAAAAAACCGGCATCACACTCTGTACCTTTTCCTGGGCTTTATTTCATTCCAACCCTCAGTACCTACTTCACAATCAAGTCTTTGAAAACCTGGTCTTAACACTTCTGCAAACCCTCTTTGCAGGAGCCTGCTTGGTGGCCCAAGGAGCTCTCTGGCATGTACGCTTGCCGCACCAAGGAGCTCGGCATCGACGGCTGCGTCGCCGTTCTCGACAACCTCTTTGCAAAGGTCCGGCACTCGCTCCCCGAGATCCGCGACCTGCGCTCGAGCCTCGACTGCGACTTCCTCGCCACGCTGACCCCATGCACGCGCGCGACGCTCGAGGCCTACTTTGACTGGCTGGAAGCGGACGCCGAGGAGCCCGCTGTCGTCAACCCTCCCCCAGGAAACAAGGCCCGCCGGTCCGGGCCAGGGGGGAAGCGCAAGAGGGAGCTGCAGCCCCCTGCGCCGCTCGAGCTGCCCGCCGTGCACCGCGCTTTCCAGCCCGGGGGGGTTGAGGTTTGCTCTCCGGCTGGGGGGGGACTTCACGCCAGGAAGTTTAGCGAGGGGCTGCCAACAGAGGATGACATGCAGGCGGTGCTCGAGGAGCTGACAAAGCTTGAGGGGGGCTGCGTGCAGCAGGAGAACCTGCCCCCCGTGCCTGGCGCGTTCGGAAGCACGGGCTCACTGGCCGCGGCCCTCGCACGGACAAACTCTTTTCAGCGGGCGGCGATGCTGAGCAGCTTCGGGCGCTCAAACTCATTCACAGCGGCGGCGGCAGCCGCGGCACTGGCCCGCATCGACGCGAGTATGCCCCTGTCCCCCCTGGGGCAGAACAAGAGCAACGTGATGCCTTTTGAGGGAGACGGCCTTAGCCCCAGCAGCAGTGACGTCACTGCAGCTCTGAGCGGCGACACCGCGCCAGTGCAGCAGTGGGGGGTGAAGGAGGAGCCGATCGACTTTGCGGGGGGGTGCTTCTGGGCTGGCGACAACCTCATTGCCAGCGGGGGGTTTGACGGCCAGGACATGAACCAGGTTGAGGCGGCCAAGTACATGGAGGATGGGTGGATGCAGTCTGCCATGGAGTAGACGATGGATGTTCCACGATTACAGGAGATGGAGCCATAGATCGGTTTGGGAAGTGTAGGTATTACAAGGCATCTGTTTGTAAGATAGGGATTAGCCACGCTGTTTTGGGAGGAGCCTTGTCTCGTGAGAAGGATAGGGCCCGCTCGCCCGCTGTTGGTCTTGCTAGTCGGCGACAACTGGGTCCCGAGTAGCAGTACCAACAGGGGTAGGGCCAGATAGAGACAAAGCAGAAGCTTAGTAGTTACTAGCCATATCAGAACCCTACGTTTTGCACCTTTGCTTTTCACAAATCAAAAAGACTGCCCCTGTTGGATTCGCTAGTTGTGGACATCTGGGTCCCAAGTAGCGCCTCCAACAGGTGCCTACCATAACAGACGCATAGCCTGCCTAGATTTTGAAGAGGAGCAGACAGTGAGATCGTTTTGTTATATTGCAAGACTTGTAAATGTAGTGAATAAGAGCACCGTGTTGGCTTCACTAAGGTTGGCAATTGGGTCTTCCATAGTTTAGCCAACATGGACTGCTCTTGAAAGGACCAAGTTCCAAATTACAATCCGATTAAAGGAAGGTGTTCCACGTGTGCCGTCCAAGCTGTTCAGCATTTCTTTTTCCAACCAACTACCCGTTGTGTGTCCACATTCTTTGACAGAAGGTTTGATATTTTCGACATGATCATTCTGATTGCTGTAACAGGCATCGCAAGGAGGTCAATGTTCCAGAACAGGCATGAAGCAGCATAAAGAATCAAATTGGATTCTGCATGCAACTGCAGGCCAGACCTCGAGCAACATGATCATGCACGTGTTGGAAGGCGAATACATATTGCCCTGTTTTTCACCGACTGGAGATGAGAGATCAGAGAGGTGCCTTGCGTAGCTGCATATCTGGCCATGCACATGACCTTACAGCATTGAATATACGCTCAACTATGGGCTTTAGCTCCATGGCATGCGATTGAGCAGCCATGTGATGCCGAGCTGCAGCATGGACAGGCTGCATGAGACCGTAAGCGCATGCCATATTTGCACATCATCATCCATACGCGCTGGAAAGGTATGCCAAAATCGAGCTAAGTTGATTAAATTCTGATGTGTCCGACCATGTCTCGTCGAGGTGAGCATGATGGTCTCGAGTCTCAATAATTACGCCGTAGATGACATGTGGCCAATGGCTTCTCCTGAATGATCCAACCCTACTCGCCTTTCAATTCTGCCCCGTTGCCGTAGTAACTGCAACCTCAGAAGTCTGAGCGGTGTATACTTGGCGCATGGATTTGTAAGCAGACTTTGGCATTGCAATGCTGTAATCTTCAAGAGTAGTCTCGGCGATGAGCCTTCAAAGCCTTTGAAAAGGAAATGTTCAACACCAACCCCTTTGCAACAGTTGCTCCTTCATTATTAAACCTGTGCTTTGGCTCCTTGTTGTAGGAGTGCTTTGACTTCGTCATTTGCTGCCCTGTCTATTGCCGTCCTCCCATCAGCATCTTTCACATCGATCTTGGCCCCCGCTGCCAATAGCTCTTCGATTTTGGGTTTATCTCCTTCTGATGAGGCTAAAAGGAGCAGAATGTCCACTGGGTGAATGCTGGCGCTCAAAAGCGCCTCCATCTTGTCGTAGGATCCCTCCACTGCCAACATCCCCATATAGTTAAAGTACTGCAAAGAGCAAGAGTCCGGTGTCGGTCAAGTAAACCTGGCAGCGTTGCCCAACTGAGGAATGAGTTCATCGTCTTGCTCCGCAAACAAAAGTTTGACGTTGTCCTGCAAACACTGTTTCCTATGAGGAAGTGATGTTGCACCATCTGTAAGTTGCGGAGAGGACCAGAAGCGAAAGATTTCTAGTCCAGTCAGATGGCCAGAAATCAACAATTAGACATCGTCACTGCTGTTTCCTCCAGTGTCCGCAGAAGGTACCGAGATTTTAACGATTGACACACGGAATGTGGGCCTCACAGAAAGAGGAAAGTGGATCGAATTTTGAAAACCTCTGGCAAAGGACAAGTACAGCTCTCCTGCACACATTGCAGACTCTAACACAAACAGAAGGTTCCCTTTCCAAGTACTTTCTTTCTGCAGAATCCGCAAAGGTCAGCAACGTGACGTGAACATCCTCACTGTTGAGAAGTAATTTGACAAGCTATAGGAACTTTATCTGACACACACAACAGGGTCCTGTGGACCAGGTTTTGTTGGACCAGTTTTCAGAGCAGAGGGATCATTGCGCTTGCCAAGCTGCATCTGATTGAGGATCTAGTGCTGATTGAACTGACAACTTTCGAAGAAAAGGCAACCAGCAGGGAATCGCTTGCCAAGTTTGATACGTTTCTAAGTGGCCTAGTGAGATTGTCACAGTGGTACAATCTGGGAGAGCAAGCGGTCTCTTTTAATTGAGCATCTCATCCTTGAATGTGGTGAAGCAGTTGACGGAGTAATTGAGCTTGAATTGAGAATCTGCCAATGTAACTTCATTTGTGATTTTAAACCAGAAGCTCAAGTTCCTGGGTTCCATTACAACTCCTCCATTGTTGCTGGGGCCAAGGAAGAATCAGAAAAGGGGCTGGGCAATTGGTGGAGCAAGGCCAGTCCTCAATCATGACTCTTCAGCCGTCAAGCCAAAAAGTAGGGTGAAATTTTGTTTATGGGCCTCTCTATAAAACTTTAAGCCCAGCACTTGACTGAAACGCTGTTGACTGACCAACTCAAATGACAAATTGACGTCTAAGGACTACACCACTGATATGCACTTTTTCCTGCCAAAGGTCCAGAACCAGAGCGCATTGACTCAGATTAATGATTGTTCTGAGTGAAAAGCCGACAACAATATCAATATGAGCATCTCAATAACCCAATCATAAACACAGTCTTTCAAAGCTTGACTGGCGACATCATAGATGTGGAATAGTGTCCTCTCATCAGCACGTTGGAGCTCAAAAGCTGTCTTTACAGTTTCTACAGTCGCATTTGAGAGGCGGTTGTAACCAATGTTTTTCGTTTACCGGTGGTGCTAAAACTTCCTGCTCCTGCCCCCTTCCAACACCTTTTTCAAAGGTGCTTGATTTGTCTCTGCCAAAGCTGCATTTTCAGTGTAATGCGATCCACAACCCTCTGCAAACTAGTGGAAGCATACTCAGCATTACAAACTGGAACAACAAAGGTCGTAGCAATCTCAAGAATGCCACTAAGCAGATCTCTCACCTGCTCAACATCATCCTCGTCATAATCATCCCTTCCCTGACTTCCATATATACCAGCACTGCTTGAGTCCATCCCATTCTTGCCAAACTTGAACCAGGCACTTATCCTTGAGCCAGACACCGTCCCCGCTTTGATGGCCACAACGTTGCGCCTGCTAATGCCGTGTGACTTTCCTAAGAAGGACGAGCGGAGAGCAGATGTCTTCCTTCGACAGCACGAAGTGGCCGCCGGGCTGTGTTGGGAGGAGGCCTCTGCGGTGACAGTTTGAGTAAGAGAGAGAGTGCCCGGGGCGCATCTCAGAATGGTGCTGGACGCCATTGTGCAATTTCTTCTGCTCCCAAGCTATCGCCTTCAGCCTTCAGGTGTTCGAGGTGCTTGCAGTTAATACTGTACCGTATGCCATACGGTACATGGCCAGCATGTAGCCATGTACATGCTACATTGCTCGTACAGCCAAGTGCAGCAAGGATTTGGAAGTTCAGGGACAATAGCCCACTCACTTGGCTTAAATTCGTTCTGGAAGAGCTGTGCAGCAGCCGCGTATATAGGTCGAACTTCTATGTAATTTTCGAGCAGACGGGCCCGTTTCTACACTGACTCACCGAGCATGCCAGTCAAATCAGCTAGCTTGAAAGTTGAAACTCGACTGACCTTTCGAAATCCTGATACCGGTAATACTAATTCAATATCTAAACTACGAGCATTTGACGACCGAAATGCGGACAAGATAAAATCCGAATTTTCATCGACCCTCCCAGATTCAAGCTGAGTTTGACTGTGAAGCTTCTCTCGATCTCCCGCAGGAGCCTGCAAATTCACCGAGCAATTCAGGAGGAAAGCAAACTCTGGAGGACGCCATTGTCGCGCAGAAACTATTCCATGATTGCAATGGCCACGTCCGCCTTGGCTGCCAAGGCTCCTTGTCTAGCAGGAATTCCGAATCCTGCCAGCATTGCAGCTCGTCCATCCTCCTCCTCTCGAGCACTTGTCGTACATAACTATTGGAGTCTGGATTGCAACACAAGGCGAAGGCATCAAAACGTTTGCACCAGGATAACTAGTGATTCAATTCTGCAGTTGAGAAGGGAGTTTGGTGCGCACTCTGGAATCCATGTACAACGAATGGTGCAAGTACGTGCTTCAGGTGATTCTCGCAGGGAAGCAAATGCGGACACGTCTTCTGTTTCAGAACGGGCCAGGATACCTGAACCTGAGGGGTCGTCAGACACTCCTGCGAGCACATCAGGAAGGCCTTCAGGTGAGGAGATGAACCTTTGTATTTGCTTCTTGTTGTGGCAAATGCGTCCTTAACAAGTCTTACTCCAATGCTTTGTATCATCATTGTCCAGTTTGACAGCGGACAAATGCCTCTCCAGATGCTGTGAAGCGGCCTTCTGATGGTGCGCCCCTTCAACAATCGCTGCTACCAACTTCAATTCGGCTTTGGTTGCCTTGTGTCAAGCTTGAAGTCGGTCTCTATTCCAATAAGCGCAAGTTATAACACTGAGTCGGGGGGGGTTAGGAAGGGGTTTGACGGTGGGCACAGGTGTGGAACACGTGAATGTTTGGGTTTAGCTTGTTTGTGTTAGCTTCGACTTATCATACTTATGAGCAGAGAACTATGAGCTTGAGCAGCTCAACACCATCTGATAACCAGGTTTTGATCCACTGAACCCCGGCTGAAACTCCTGAGCTTCAGTTGTCACCAATAAGCTGGGTAGTCAATCTTCCTTGTGGTGATGAAAGCATCTTCCAATGCTGTCATGCACCCATGAGGATGGACTTACACTCAAAGGACGCATCACCTTAGCTCGGACCTTGGTTGGGGGCACCCAGGGAGCACTGCTCTGAGCTCTTTGTGAAAGCCTTAAGTTGTCAAAGGACCAACTGACCTGTCGTGCAATCCTGCGTTTCTTTACTTCATCTTGTTGTCTTGCCAATGTTAAGATCGTCCACCTATGGCAGTTTTTGCTCCCTTTCTGCCGAGCCTTGGCTGCCTTCCACTAAATCCCTCAGAAGCATTCTCTTCGTTGATGTCTCTGAATCTTCAGTGCAAGTTGGCCGCAGATCCTGAAGGGAATGGTGCTCTCTACTGGCTCATTGGAGGCCTTGCCTCCATCGGCGCATTGGAGACGGCTTATCTGACGTACGAGAAACTCACCGGGGGCCCAGTTGCATGCGGCCTGGGAGCAGGAGGAGTGGGAGGATGTTCAGACGTTCTGGACAGTGAATATGGGACGCTATTTGGTGCGTTCGAAACTTGTCCAATTGTCCAATCATGATTCGCCTTCTGTTGTTTCATCAGCAAAGTTTCAAATTGTCTTTTAAGGAGAGCTGTGACGTATAAAGAAAAGCATCGGCGAGCCTCTGAGGGAAGAATGACGGAATACACTATTTCCGTGTGCACACTTAAGGGTTTTCTCCCAGTTGTATGTGTCGCCGTTGAGGATTTGTGCATGTCGTATGGACCAAGAGGTTTGAGGGCCAGATGCAAAATTTGTGATCTCAGGTTGTCTCCGTGACTTGGGTGGTTGCACCTTGTTTGATGGAAGGCTTGATTTGTTAACCAATTTCATACCTTGCTTTTCAGAGGTGTTTGCACAACTGCGGTTGTCAAGCCTACTTTGGCTGACACATCCTCTCTGTTCGACTGCATAACTCCTACTCCAGGGCTCAATTTTCCTGACAAGGATGAGAACACATCTCATCATGACTACTAGGATTGCAGCTCATAGACGAGCCATGTGACCCGCATTTTGACCTTACGCCCTCTCTGCAGGCGTCCCCTTGTCGCTCTTTGGCTTGGCAGCCTACTCCTTGGTCCTCATACTCTCTCAGCTCACTAGGAGCGACCAAGCCTCAAACCCCTCGGCCCCTAGCCTCAACAAATGGCTCCTTTTGGCGGCCACCTCAGCGATGACCGCAGCCAGCGGTTACTTTATGTACATTCTCAACTTCAAGCTGACGGGAGCAACGTGCACCTACTGCGTTGGATCAGCGGTCCTGAGCACTAGCCTTTTGCTTGCGACTCTTACGGTGAGTCTTACTTTGACTTCGCACTTCAGGTTCTCTTCCAATGAGTCTTTCCATTGGCTCCATATATGCGAATATTTTACAGTGACTCTTATCCATTGATTTAACACTTCAGGTTCTTGATGGTGAGAGTATTTTGGCTCCAGGTTCAGATATGATGGGACTTGCGTTGGCTTGATACTTCAGGCTCTATGTCTGCTCTTCTGGTGGGTCGCATGGTTTCTCTTTTTGTCAGGTTTCCGAACTACTTTGATCTGGCTTTGACTAGTTTTGTCTGCTTACTTCACCTTGCCGACGAAATGAGGTGCACTTGTTCTCCAAGCTTCAGCCTCTTTACGATTCTGCTAGTATTTTCGATGCGGTTTATCGGGATTCTTTTTCGAACTTCCGAGTCTATCAAGGTGATCAAGAGCTCGCTGAGCGATGCAACTTTCGCCACATCGATTCTTGTCAGTCACAGCGCCGCCTGCTTTCGTGATCAACTTAGAAGGCTGGTTTTGCAAGAAAAGTTTCATAAGTCATAAGCTGCTCAACTTCGTGGGAGGTGCAGAGAGCTCACCACAAAGGTGAACGGAGAAGATGGATTTGCATCTATCCTTGACCCCTCTCCGCCCTTCATCTTGATGATCGACAAGCACCTCGTTGCAAGCTCGACTCAACGTGGACCGTCATTAAAAGACTCTCAGCCAAGTCGGTATTTGGAAATTTTGTTGAGGGTTTCATTTTCCATCTATCCACTTCCACCGCTATTGACGGTATGAAGAGAATTTCAAATGACTTTTCTTTCATGCCGCAAGGGTTTCAAGGGCCCTGATTGTCACTTTATCTCAGCCCCAAGGGCCATCCCTGGACGTCCGCATTTCCGTCCCTTCAACCTCACAAAGTCGTTCCTCCTACCTGTTGAAAGATCGAAGAGAAGGGAGAGAAAGATGCAAACCCGTATTCTTCTTTCATCCCGCAGGGTTTCAAGGGCCCCGACCTGCGGAAGGCCGTCGCTCCTCAGCTCGGGCTCAGCCTTGCGGTCGTCCTCGCGCTGTCGCTCGCCTTTGCTGATGTCAGGTCCGCATCTGCAGGGTGCGTTTCTCGGTGGAGGGTGTCAGCCGGGGGGGATAAAAGGATCCCCCCTGCGAGCATTGCTGATGCTTTTGCAATCCCTGCCTTGGGAAAGAGTGCTTGCCACGGCTCGGTTCTCTTTTGCATGGTCGAGGGCCTTTCTACGTGCCTGACGAGCGGGCGCTGATCTTTTGTCTGCTTCCTTTGCTAAGCGTGCTTGTGTATTCGGAAGGGCTGAACGAACTAGGAAAGCAAAGGCGGCAGGTCGATTGCTGGCCGCCTGTAAAAAGTGATTCCGCTATGTATACGGAATTCCTGCTGCTTATCTGGACAGCAAACTATGTCAATTGTTCGAGTTGGGAACCATTCCCCTCGACAACCAAGTGACTCAAAATTTGTCGTCAAACACTGGTCTTATCACTCCCTGTTTGGGTGAAACGAATGCTCGGTTGGTTAAAACAAACTCGTGGTCTTGCTTTCTAGCAGATTGTGTCGTTGTCTGGAAGCAGTTACCCTCTGTTAGGCGTGACTTCAGTTTTATCGTACGGATCTTTTGAATGCGTCAGCTGTTCGGACGACTACAATAGCTGGACTTTGCGAGCAGCGAGGACTTCGAGAGCCCGCCCCGAATCGCAGCCTGCCCTTAAATACGGACTACCTTAGAAACAGTGAAGGCTGGACCCAGTCTTAAGCTCAGTCGTCCGCATCCCACTTCGGTTCTGGTCTAGCCAAACACTACGACCATTCCAGAGTACCAAAACTTCTTCCGTCGTCCGAATGGTAGTGTCAAGGCAGTGGAAGAACTGAGCACGATGTTCTACCGGCACTCCTGAACTGCTTTTTTGTCGGCGCAACTCTTCGGACCTCGCTCTCGTTGAGCCGAACACTACGACCATCTCCGGGTATCAAGGAGCGTCATCAGAAGAGCAGGCAATGGGATATCCAGCACCTTGTTCCAGTCCTGCTACTTGAGGTCATTTTTTTGTTCTGCGCAGCTCTCCAGACGACATCGGTCTCGCTCCCGTCGAGCCCAAGATCACGACCATTCTCGGGTGGCGCGAAACGGGTTCCGCCCTAAACCCTCAAACCCGCCGGTTCCGAGACCTTGTTCCTTTCCGCCAGACGACGTTGATCTCGCCCCCGTCGGACCCGAGGAGACGACCTAAATCCAATCTTCTTTTTAAGATAACAAGTCTCTCGTCCCCATTTATCAGGTTCTGGGTACTGGGCACAGTACTGACTTATGATTCCTTACCTGTCCTGCGCAGCTCTCCAGACGACATCGACCTCGCTCCCGTCGAGCCCGAGATCACGACCGTGTCGTCGTCCGCGGGGACCGCTCTCGCGAAGCACCTCAAGTCGATCGGGGCCAAGATGTACGGCGCCTTTTGGTGCTCGCACTGCTTCGAGCAGAAGCAGGTGGGGCTTTGGGGGTCGAGCGCTGTCCTTTTTCCTCTCCTTAGTGCGTTCTCAGACAGCGGCATCTGCTTCTGAAATGCTTCCTATTATTCGTGTTGCTTCGAGCAGAAATGGATGGGATGCGACCGTTCTTGTACTTGTTTGCGTTTGTACGTTAAGTCGCGGTTGGCTGGTCTGAAATCTCTTCGACGGGTCGGGTTCGTTAGCAACGTCGACCTATGTGAGATGTTGTCAGTCATTCGACGCTCTATATGCAGCCCTTCGACGTATCGTTCAACGCCCTTAGCTTTTGTCTGTGGTCTCCCGAGATGTACAGCATCTTAAAGTTTGCAACTGTCAGCAGTTGCATTTGCCACTGAAGAGCTCTTTGTCGGCCGTTCGGGAGTCCGCCTCTCAGCTCTTTTAGGTTGCATGTTTCGCAATCGTTTAGCCTTCCTCTTGAGGTCCCGCCCTTAGCCAATAGGAAGTCTCTCGTGTCTGATTAGCCTCCCTACGAATCTAGATGCCTAAAACTTGGAGAAGCTTCGTTTTGACTACTCGCCTGGCCCCCTAGGGGTGGACCCTTTACAGTCAGTTGACGAAGTTTGCAGCCACTTTCGCCAATTCAATCCCCTATTTCACCAGAAGCCAAAAGCGATCGAAAGTCTCTAGAATAGTGTTGCAGGTCCGCAGTGATACCTAATTCCTCAGAGGGACGTTCGATCGACCTGTCGATTACGAAATGCTATACAAAGCTGGATGAATGCCATGCTCTTTCCCGGACAGCTAATGCACGTAATAAAGCGCTGGGTGGAGGCATGGAAAGCGCCAACTTCCATGGTGTGAAGCGAGTGTTCACGGCTTGTCTGGTGTGCATTTATCTCGGTCGCAGGCATTCGGACAAGAGGCGATGCAGTACGTTGACTATGTTGAGTGCTACCCCGACGGTTATCGGAGGAACGTAACTTTAGCCAAGCCCTGCGTAGATGCCAAAATCGAAGGGTTTCCGACGTGGGTCATCGACGGAAAGGTGAGGGGCCTTTGTCTGCCTCGTCATCTACGGTTCAGCCGAGAAGGCCAAAGAAGATTACTAGAAAAGCCTAAGTCCGATGGCAGTTCCTTTTTGCACGGATTGCGCAGCTTGGATGCCAGCACTTTGTGTGGATGATCTTGCAGTTTGCTGATCTGGTAGTTCAGAAGTGGTAGTCACGGGTAGTCATGAGCTGACCGATTGCCTTGTGATCTTGTGCAGCTGATATCTGGGGAGCAGGATTTGAAACAGCTGGCCATCGTATCCAAGTTTGATCCATCGACCATCACCCAATAGACTGGCTGAGCACGTTGAACGTTGTGTCCACCATTCGGGAGCTACCTATCCAGCGAGTTGCAAGTAACTCCGCTTATTTGGCCACATATGTCAACAGCTTATTGTTTGTTGTTCCTTCTTTTTTGCCGAAGAACACAGGCCAGAGGGCATAGATGGGGTCCGTACTTGTGCAAAATACAGTACGCTGTGCTGCAATATGCGACGCGATAGTCAGACTTCCATGATTGGGCTCCTTGCTGTGCGCGTTGTGCATATGGTGGCACCCTCACGAAGCAGCTCTGGGTGTGGTTAATCAATTCATGGGCCTTTTAGTATAGCTCACTATGCGGGCGCTGTTTAAGACTACTGCAAAAGTTCGCAGTATGACATAAGGATACACGTCTGATGTCGTAATTTATGATTGGATGGTATACCCGCAACAAGATATTCATGTGCATGCCCTTTGCTTTGAGGAGAATTGGTGGATTTTTTGGACTCTTGTCTGCATGATTGATTAGAGATTCTATAGGATCTGTGAATCAGAGAGGATCACATGGCACCCATGTCTCGATCATGCACAAAGTCACTTATGTATAGTATGTGAGTTGACAGTCTCGATATCATGCACTCCAATTTCAGTTTTCCGGCCAGCTTTCAGTCGCTAGTCTCTGGTTGCACAAAGCGAGAAGATGAGGCCCATGACCAGGCTCGTCAAATTCCATGTCCCATTGATCGTCTGTCCGACTCTTGCCTACCTAGCGCAGTATAATCTACATAAGGTACACACTACAGTGGCAGCACCAGCGCTCTGATGTTCCACACAACACGCAACTCTTCTGAGCAAATTGCGAAGAGCTTGACCCATGGACACGGTAAGACCTAATGCAAGGCAGTAGTTTGGTGTGGTAATCAACATTGCACTGCCTACTGCTGTAGACAGATGATCAGTATTTTCTGGTCACTGTCTATGTCTGGTCACTGATCTGCACCCAACTTGGTTGAACCGACCCAGAATCCCTGGACAATCAAAGGTCCTCCAGGCCTGCAAAGTTGTAGCACAAATGTCAGGAGACCTGCTCCACCTATTCAGATTATGCAACAAAAGTCCTAACAAGCAAGTCCTAAGAAGTCTCACAAGAAAGCACTGTCTCCGTGACACCAAACTTGCGGATGGGCGAAGCAGCCAAACAAATACCTCACATTTAGATTCAATTGTGCCACTCCCTCAAAACGAGACATACACTCTGAATCTCCTGCATATACCACCCAGAAGCTGACAAACTCTTGAACCAGCCGCATACATTCTATAGGGCATCCTGAATGCATCATCTGCCAACTGCGAGTTCACCCGATCAGCAGACTTTCCAATGAGGCTTACCTTCAAACGGTCTGTTCGCACCCTCTCTTGCTCTCCAGTTTTGCAGGGCGGCCCCAAGTAGCACCTTTGATCCACTCATCGGTGCCCTCAAATGCATCAAGACTTTCCTGTGTGTGGAGCTGATTGATGTTTTCCCCTCATATAGCAAACCACTGCCTGTGGTATGTGCTTTCAAGAAGAAGCCAAACATTCTCACTGTTGTTCCAAAATCAATGAAAGTCTGGAAGAGTCCCTAAGAACAAGAGGAAACTGGAGCTCCCCAGGCATGGCCCCTGGCAGTATCCTACGCTCTTTCCTCTGCTTCTTGATGACCTCGCGCCAGCAAGCTTCGGTACACCTCTCTGGCCCTCTCTTCGCCCAAGACGATGCGGCTCGCATGCTCGTTCTCCAGGTTCACAAACCGGAAGCCGACTTTCAGGTAGCAAACCATGAAGGCTGCCAGGAAGAAGATGCCTACAATCAGGAGCACCAACCATAACTCCATGCCGCAAAGGCAACCGCTTGCAAGGGCGACTTCTGCCGGTATTCACTTCTCATAAGCCCGTACCCATCAATGACAAAGACATGGGGCTGATCACTTTGCTGGCTGGACGGAATCCTGTTCCAAGCTTCCAACTTCAAGGTTGATCCTGAGCCCTCGGCCACTTTGCTGCTCGATTGGTGTGAATGGGACCGCTGGCCAGAATTATTTCGCCATCGGCCGTCAAGAGTTGTACTGCTCTGCATCGGACGGTTAAATAGGACGTACAATGCACAGCGCTTAGGCTTCCAAGATTCTGACACCATTGCTGTTCCCAACAATGCCACATGATGCCATCTTGGCTATTGGCATTGCCAGTATTGGCTTGAACTTGGATGAAGCAGGCACGTGCGCTTCAGTACTAGGTATACGAGACTGCCATTAAATGCTTGATTGAAGTGTTGTCCTTTCCCTTCGTATTCATGCAAGCATGAAGACTCACATCCTACTGCAGTGCATTTGTTTGGAAGCGGAACACTAGCTAATTCCGCTCGACAAGCGCACATGTGACCAGATTTGATTCGTTGAAATGATCATGTTCACCCTGCAAATAATAACGGATGTGGCGCACGAGATTCAAAAACAACATGGTCTGAACATGGCGTCGAATAGAGCTTGGGTCTGGAGCAAAACCTGACGTGCAAACTTGGACAGCAACATCCAAGCCAGGTTTTTGCAGCAAAATGAAGGGACACAAAATGCTTTCATGTAGACATAGAGCTGAAAATTCCCCCTGATCATAAACCTATGCACAAGAAGGGTTATAAAGAGAAATTAAGCGGAATCAGAGTGTTTTATGAGCTGAGGTTGAACTATGACGTGGATATGATGTTGGGCTTGAACTTCTGAATCGATTGTAACACCGTCCACCGCAACAATCTCCGATCTATATGCTAGTAGGTGAAAGTTTCGAGATCTCGATGCACGACTTCTCGTTGGTCGTTCAAGTGATCTTCTCTTTCCTACTGCACGTGAGTTGACACATCTGGAAACATACTGAGTCGCTTGTTTCAACCTTTGTGTCAGGCTGCGACCTGCAGACAAGCAAGGCGACAAGAAGTCAGCTTTGCTTCAGAACAGAAGCGAGCAGCATAGATCGCTTTGGGGCACAGATCGACCGTGAATTTTGCGTGGCCGTTCCTAACGTGGAGCTGAGAACATTGACCTTTACTAATTACTAGACATACTAAATGATACATGATTGGCAAGAAATTTGGCCTTCCAAAGAAAAGAAGACCGAAAGGGAAGAAATAGCGGCGCTCCTTTGCTAGGTACTATTCTCGTCGTTGCTTTGAAAGCACCACTGATGATGGAGACCGCTTTTCTCGCATTTTTTCGCGATTTCGGAGAGTAAACGTAGGGGCTTCGTGAGACTCAAGCACAGGCTATCTCTTTTGACCAAAATAAACTGTTTCGTCTATTCTCTCACAGCATCACTTTCTGTCACACACCCTCCACCTCTATCAAAAGCAATAATGGCGCAGCACCTTACCTGACGACAGCAGCCGCTTAGCACCTCACGGCATGACGACGACAGCAGCTGGTGTTACCACGCTGTCTCTTCCGGCCAAACGGCTAGTGAGACGCAGTCAAACAATCAGCCGTCGTTCGAAGCGTCCAATCGGTCCGAAAGGACCAAAGAGAGCCGCCTAATGGGTACTGAGGCTCTACCGATTTTCGGACGCCTTCGGAGGCTGAGCAATGACCGGTGAATCGCAGCCAATTCAACTGCGGCTATTCAGACGCTACGAAGCTCAACTGAAGCCGTGCAGCCGGGCGCTTGTTGCACAATCTAAACTGTGGCGCACTCAAAAGCCTTATACAAACTGCCGCTTTGGCTGCCGCAGAGAGCCTCCATTTCCAGGACATTGCGGACACGGGGGTTCCTTTTGGCGCACGTTTGAAAAACCCCCTTCGGACTTCGTCACCCTTCCAAAGCTCGAGCAATAGGAGCTCCAAGGGTTGGTGGACGCAACTTTGGAAGCGTAGCTGGTTTTGGACGCTACGGCCTTCCGGAGGATTGACGGCGCACGCCTTTCGGACGCTGCTGAAGGAGCGGACGCTCAGTGCTCTGACGCTTTCGGACGCCGCTGAAACAGCGGACAATCAGTGCGGCGGCGCTTTTGGACGCCGCTGACTTTGCGGACGCCTAGCTCGGCTGTAGCCGTTGTTTGGCGATGAGGTAGATCTCGCGGGAGGCGGCCCGGGTCGCCTGCGGGCGCAGCCACGCCACGCGGTGGAAGAGCGGCTTGCATCGCTCGCCGAAGTCTGGCAGGTGCGGACGTACGGAGGTTAGACATTAGAGCGAAGCCCGGTATTCGGAGAATGAGAAGTCAAAAGTCAGTCGAATGAACGAGACTTGTCTCGAAAGGGCGCAGCCGACGCACGCGCTGGAAGAGCGGCTGCACCGCTCGCCAAAGTCTGAAATGTGCGGACGTACTGTTGTTAGTAACTAGAGCAAACGTCCGGGTTCGGCGGGAAAGAAAATACAGAAGATTAAACGAACCCGGCTCACGAGCCGGAAGAGCGGCTTGCACAGCTCGCCAAAAGCTGGCAACTCTGGATGGAGGAATGTTAGTAACTAGAGCGAACGTTCGTGTTTGATGATTGAGGAAGTCAGAAAGCCAGGCGGACGAACGAAAGGGGAACGTTACGGGCGCAGCTAGGCCACGTGCCAAAAAGAACTTTTTGCACCGCTCGCCGCTTTTCTGCATGGGCGGACGACCGGATACTAGAGGGAACAGACGTCGGAAGTCAGCGTGAGGACATTAGGACGACGTGAAAGCAACAGAAGCTTCTGCACATATCAGACAGAGATTAAAATTGAAAACGTCTTAAACTTTAGGACCCTTCTGCCCACAAAAGTGAGGACTGTCTCTACAAATTATCCAGCGGAGAAACGATCAGGAGCACTTGCAACGCCCGCGGATTTCTGGCAGGTACGGACGTACAGATCGTAGCAACGAGAACGGTCGTCCGGAGTCGGCCATCGAGGAAGTCAAAACGCCAAGTAAGAGAACCAAAGCAAGGGCAAGAACGATTAGCTCTTTCTTCCGCCAGCCGAGCCGTTCGAACCGGTCGATGATGAAAATATGTGCAATCTGAAATTCAAATTCAAAAATCCGGGTCAGCCGACTCCAGTTAAGCTGACAAGATTGTAAGGGACGGGCTAGTACGCGCGGACAAACCCCTTATACCTCCACATCACCAGGAAAAACTGGTTTAAGTCCTGGCTTGCATCACGATTGAAGCCAAGCCACCAATCTGAGCTGGCCAAGCAGGAGCCTTTTCACGAGCTTCCAGGTATGCTCGACAGGTATTGCAAGGCTTTAACAAAGAACGGTAGTGAACAATCGGAAGGACTGAGACGAGACTTCCACCGGATATGTTTGTGAGAAGTTCCAAGACTTCCGAGGTACTGATTGGGCCCGACGAGAGGCCCTGTAAACGACGCACCTTTCGTCCCCTCGCCTTCCAGCAGCTTTACAACAAAGTGGCCCCCCGGCAGGAGGAGGCCTCCGTCCTCATACTTTCCTTTCGGACCTCCCTTTCCGTCTCCGTTTCCGTTTCCGGATGCACCGGCGCCCTCGTTCGGACGTCCGTGTTGGCAGCCGGCAGCACCCGCGCCCTCTTTCGGACGTCCGGCTTCCTCGTCCGAACGGCCAAAATCTCGTTCCGGAGGCCCGGATTCGACGTCGAAAGCACTAAAGCCCACTTCCGGACGTCCGAATCCGTCGTCCGCTTCACCCAAGTCTAGGCTGAAGTTGGCCCGTCCAAGGGCCAGCTGGGCGGCGCGCTCCCCGAGCTCGAGCGAGCACCGAACGTCCGAGAAGCCGTTTCCGGACGTGGCTGGGCACATGTCCGACAAAACCGTCGTAAAGCCCTGTGGAGGTTGAAAGAGGTTTGTTTGCTGACGTCACGGGTATATCTTGACCGTCGAGATTAAAAAGGGTTCCAAGAGCCGTCCCAACCGGTGGCGGACATGGCAGAACCGTCCAAAGAAACCGACCTGTAGATTACAGTAGTTGCTTGTCTCTGATGTCAAAGAAAGACGTATCTTGAACTTCAATTTTTCTAATAAATGGAAGCGTCTGAACGCTCGGCCAAAGGTGCAGAAGGGCACGAGTCAGGAAGAGCCGGCATGAAGCCCTGCTGAAGCTGGAAGTAGGACACAAGTGCTCGTCCATTCTGGGTTAGTGAAATGGCCTCCCTAACCGGGAGGCAGTTTCGGGGGTACTAAGTCTGGGTCGGGGAGTCAAATACGCGGTTGGTCGTGGAATTGAGGACTGGCTACGTCAAGAATGGACGTTGGTAGATGGATGGTTGGTGAAAGTCCCCAATCATGCGCCGGTTTATTGAGTCTGTTTTGGGTTTGTTAAACCCAATTACAATTGAGAGCCTCGGAGTAGACTGAGTAGTATGGCACAATGGCAATCGTCAACGGTGTAGATTGACCGGAAGATAAATCGACGGTTCTCGGTCCTCGAACTCAAAGGCAAGGGATGCCACGTTGGCAGGCTGTGAGGGTTTAGCCAATGGGATCACAAGTAAAATAGCTTTACCGCGGACTTTTGACATGCCAATATAGGGAGGCAACAACTCCCATTGAAATGGACTACCTCAATTGCAAAACCCAGCCTCGTCTAAAAGCATCGTGCAACCCTGTCAAATGTGCCTGAAGCATCGATACACTCACCACTCTGCGGATCAAAGCGGTAGGGGTTTAACAGAAACACCGCCTTTCTTGCCTTGTCTTTCCTATCCAATGGCTGGAGATGCTCTTTCAAAGACTGCATCTGCGGCCTATTTCTCAAGCAACGAGTGAATGTCCAACAGTGGCGAAGAGAAAAAGAACCGCAGACAGGTCAAGGAAAGGCGAATAAGATACACCACACACGAACGAAGAAAGGGGCGAAAGCAGGCAAGGAAACGCGACGAGAACTTGACGAAGGCAGAACAACGCACATCGTAGAACAGATGGTGCAGAATCACAGCATACTGAGATGAGGCGGAGTACGGCCGATGTCGACTCACATTCTTCACTCGCGGACTGATGTCCCGCAGGTGCCAAGGTTGAATGTCGAACGCATCCCCGTGCAAGAACCGGACGCGCTTGTCGCAGTAGGGGCCTGGGATCCTCATTTGCTGCAATTGGCAAGTGCGTGAGTATATGAGTGACAAGGTGCAAAAGCATGTAGAGTTGGCCTAGAGGCAAAGGTCCTGGTCGTTCCTTAACCCCTTGACCCTGACCTTGTACCGACCAGAGTTTAGTAGACTTAGTGTTGCAAAGGAAATTTTGCAAAGAGACGGAAGCCAACAAACAAAGTATCTGATGAAGATGAGTGTTCTGATCGAAGTCTAGACCCGCACCTGTGACCACCTCTGGTTGGGGCGGAAAAACCATGTACAAAAACGACGAAATGCTAAGAAGATGGGCGAAGTGACGACAGTACGACGAGCAGATGATCCTCAGTCCTACTACTCTCGTCATATCCTACAATCTGTAAGAGGAGCGACAGCTCTTCTATTCTTTAGCAGTTTCTTCCAGGTGACTAGAAGTTTTCAGCCGCCGGACACCTTGGAAGGGTGTACTTTTGTGGCCGAGCTATTGAATCTCAGAAACATCTTGCCAGCATCGCAGTAAAGCATCAAAACAAGTCATGGAAACATCACCACCGTACCTGGATGTCGACCCCTACAACAAGGCCTCCATTGCGGATGTTGCCCAGCAACTTGCACGCTACCTGCAATCGCAATCCAATCACCAATCTTTAAAAACTAACAAATCATCAAATCACATGGTTGAAACCCATTGAAACTTGCAAGGATAGAACAAGGTATGGGGCGAAAGGGACTGGGGCTTGCTTTGGCCTGTGCGCTGAGCTGACGAGTGCTATGAGCAGTACTGAGCTTCTTCACACCGAAGAGATCCTGCTGCTTTGGCAGTGCAACACCATCACTTTTTGGATCTTTAGGGGGGTAGGATTTTTACCTGCAGCCAGGCCCCTGGAGCGCACCCCAGATCGAGCACCTTGGCGCCCTTATGTTTGATGACATGGTGCTTGTCCTGAATCTCCAGCAGCTGTCGGAAGAGATTTAAAACATTCTGACTTTCCAAGAGAGATGACAATCTTCCGTATTGGTGATTTGGTCAATGACTCATTTCCCAGGGCAGTGCAAGGTGCGAGTAAATATATTGGCTTTGAAAGCACCATTGAGATATGCCACGCCACCAAGGCGGCATCTATCGTAAGCAGACAGACCCTGTGATTCTTGCTGGCATTAAGACTACAAGTCCTATTCTTTTTGATCGACAAAATATTGGCAGCACAACAGGTGAAGTTCTGAAAATTCGGTGCGAGGTGCCAGATTTTCTGCCACCAAAAAGCTGCTCTTTAAAAAATAGCTTGTGAAACTTGGGGACATGGCATCACCCACCACCAGTTGCAAAGCAAGCACGGGGCCACTCCTGGATCAGACTGCAATACTCCCCTCCTGCCAACGGGCTGAACTCAAATGCAAATCCTGCTTTTGGAAGTACAATAATCCTCAGTCACGCACATCAAAGGGTGGTGTTGCGGCAAAAGAACAGGCCGATTCCAAATCATTCTTGCAAGAGCGACAAACCTTGAATGCTGAACGCGCCACGTACTTCAATCGCTTGGCTTGCTGGAAGTAATGATCCTGTGCTTTGAAGAGGTTTGACATGACCGCTTCGGAAGTTGGGAGTGAGAGGTGGACAGAAACGAAAGCGCCTCTAGGTTTCTTCTGAAGAAGGCAGAACACGGCAATGCCAATTACTTGAATTACTTGAATTAGAATTTGCAGGCGATGGGCATTGCTACCATTTCTG